TGCCAAGGCTTAAAGCAGCAACAACGCTACACATAAAAACTGATGATGGTGGAAAAATACACCGAAACGTATTTTGATTGATAAATAGAGACAATAAATGACTGAAACCCAGGAATGAAATTGATTTGGAATTGAAACACAGTCAGGAAAGTATATACAGTAAAGCTAATTCAATGAGTCATAGACAAATGATCTCATTTGCCTTAAATCTGCGTCTTAACTAGAATGTGTTTTAAATTAGTAAATATTCCTATCTAGGCCACGAGAAAATTATCTATAACTGCATGAAAGTGAAATATTCATCTGTTTGCTAGAAGGGAACTAAATCTGTATACAGTGGTCCGCAACTAACGATTCACACAATCCACTGGCATACTGTTTACGCAAAAATATTGCGCCAAGGGCCACTTTTATTCCCCCCTGAGAAAAAAAACATAATCGACCCACATAGAAACTGCATTATTTCGTCAAACAATTGCGCAAAAGTGCTTGAAAAAACCTTTTCCAAATTGCATAGCATGCATTATTTTAAAACAATAGAACAGCGATTTTTTTTTCATCACTACGTAGCAAAATATTGTCATAATCTTGACATTTCATAATCAGTACCAAGGTTGGAATTAAGTGGGAACAATTGCGAAACTGATGCATGCATCAAGGAATGCTGTTCGCAGTAGAAAACATTGCAGTTTTTGTACTCGAAACAAGCGTTGATGCGATTTGATCCAGCTGCTTGTTGAAGGATTTAACACAAAAAAGAACCGCAATCACATCAACTGAGTCATAACAAGGGCAAGAATAAATCAAGTAAACCAGTCTACAAATAATCATTTATTACAATGTACACCAAGACACATCTAGATCCTTCACTAAACATCGTAATGTGGTAAAAAAGTTCACTTAATTAACAATTATCAAGAACATTTAGATTGCCTATACAAAATACGCACACAGTTTAGATGCTTTCTGTACAACAATTTACAGTTGTGGTTTGGGACATTTTTTTCTGCTGAAAATCGTATGTTTCATCAATAAGTTCGTTTGCAAATTGATCAAAAAACTGTATGTTTTGCCTCGAATACATTCAACACACATACGCGGCAAATCCTTTAATTATATTACAGTTATATGCTGCTTAATGCCCCGATAATCCAGTTGATCCGATTTGAACGGGAAAATTCTGTTTCTAGCTCACATATTTCTTTGATGCTAGATCGGCTATTTTCATACGTGCCGCCAAGTATGTTGATCGTTTTCAATGGATTAACTTATCATTATTAGAATAATACCGTGTCAACAGGTTTACGTTAGAACGAAAACCCGTTGAAACGGTTCCAGAACGAACCATTTCTCAATTGCTTACATAATTTTGGTGGGTTTTTCGATAAAAAAATGTGTACAAAAATTAGGTCTTAATACACAGACTTATACACTTATGACAAACAATGAAACTTTCCCTCGAAATCTGATGATCGCCAACATCAGAGCCGTTAAAGGTTTCTTACATGTTTTGGAAACATGCAAACACAAAGTGGCGTTTGATTCATATATGGTTCCTAGGTGAATAATCAGGTACTTAAAATTTTTTTCTATGTAATTTGGGTGGTGTATGGGTAAAACGTAATGTACATTCTTATAATACAATCAATCATAAAAATATAATTGGTTCATTATTGCGTGCCTTATGGTAAACCTTTATCTAGTCTAGACTAAAATAAATAACAGCTTAAATATCGACAATTTACGCATAGAGCAGGCTACTTAATGGTAGGTCGTGTTTGACTCTGTTGATCATTGCAATAAACGCACCAACGACTTCTTAAACAATAGAAAAACTGATTTTTTTGGTTTAACACCAGAGCTACCAACCGGTCAATATTTCAAAAATTCTGCATAAGACTTTTATGTAAAACTCTACTCATTATTTTTTGAATATGTCATGACTTGTTCTAAATGTACTTATGTATTCATAACACCATATATTTCTTCTTTCCCCCATTTTGACCGTTGAAGAAAAGAAACTACAGGAGAAAAAATATCTGGAAAAACTTTTTGTTTCAATTGGCAACAGAATTTTCTGCACAAAATGAGAAAAATTAATAATTAAACATGATACTTTTTTTGTACAATTTATTTTTATATTTTTCCTAAAAATTTGTAAGAAAAACGACCGGTGTTCACAATAAATGTAAAAATAACGTTATTTTTTGTAAACGATTCAAATGTTTACCAATATTATTGAACTAAGTATATTTAATACCTTGCAAGCACCAGTCATACGGTCATTTCGGTCGGTTGGTTAAAATAAGGGCATATTGTGGGGTGGTAGTTCTAGTCTTAAGGAACCAATTATTCAACTTTTTTTGCCTCTTGCCATTCATTCGTATTAATATACAAAGTAGGCTTCAGTGGAAAGAAATAGGTAAAAACAACTGATTGCACATTAAAATAAAGTCTACCTATAATAAATAAATAAAGTCACGATCATCCTCAACATACTATTCAGGCAAAAGGATTGATAATCTGCACCTAGACTTTCTAAGATTAGTACAGGAATTTACCGTTGAAATTACGACCGACCCCATTAACGCGCCCCGTACAACTACAATTTTAATAACATATTTTGGCCTTCCGCCTTCTCATAAAGTTCAAAATAATCATCCTACTAACGTGAGTGTCCCATTGAGAAACTAATCAGAACTAGAACAATTTTTTTTGTAAAATATGTACATTTGCACCTTGTTACAATTTACACAGTCTGCCCACATTCATCCACAAATTTACATTAATCACTAATCTAACTTCGATTGGGGAAATTGCATATGAGCGACTTTCTGTGCCACTTCAGTTGAACAACTTTCGGTTCTGGCAGTGAGTTTGATTAATTAACCTCTGATTATGGGCCATTGGCAGTACAGAAAGTTCAATAAATTCTTTGTTACAAAAGGGCTTGATGATCTAGAAATAAAGATGCGTAACGTCGTCTGTCTGGTGAATTTTTCTCTTTCTTTTACGCGTATTGGGCCGTGTTCTACCCATGGACTTTTTGGAAATTTTTCTTTTAAGAACCCGTCTGAGCGCGAAAACAGATTAAGACAATGATACTATGAGGTATTAAAAGAGCCATTGTAGTTTTTTTTTTGAAGAACATTAGCAATTTGTCGCTAATTTCATTTAGCTGGAATGTGTGTTTTTTCGATTTAAAAATCCAGAGGTTCTCCAGATGAAAAGAATCGAATTGAACAGTTCCATTGTGTGATCAAAACGTTTTTTCAGGATGCGTTAAATAAGTAAAAATTAGGAATAGTTAATAAGTGACCATGACAGAGATAGGGAAGGTGCATGGTTCAAAGAGAGATGCAAGAGGAGGCTCCTTCAATGCGAAACAATTCGAATTAAAGACTAGAGAGAGGACCCAACAGGGATTTTCTGGTGTTAAAGAGAATCGCAATGCGATAGTGTGGTTTCCTGTTTTTCTGGATAGTGAATGTTGCTCAAACCGCACCTTGTACATATTCACAATTGATTGAGGTTATCTGAATTTGCGCTTTTGAAGTTTTTTTGAAGTGAAAAACATTTTGATAACTTCAATGATGGTATACTAATATAAATTAATTATTATATATGTATTATATCATCAGAATAGTTGCGAATACTAAAGGTGGTAGTTTGAATGGCTGCAGCTCTAGTTTTGGTGAACCGTTGAATTCGTTGATGGGGTTAAAATCAGCGCGGAAAGTGCGATTAAATATGGATTTATGACCTAGCCGGTCCTGTTGGTAGAGTCATTGTCCTCATGTCAGTGACATCCCACATGTGGGATAAACAATCGCTCTGAGGCGCGGTTTTTGCACCCCATTGTTCGATTGCAGACGGTTTTACCTGGCGTCCATGCTGGACTCTGACTGCGAGCCATGATCCGATGAACTACTGCTGGAAACTGTTTCTGCCGATTTGATTTTTGGCTTGTATTCCGTAATCACCACCGTGATACTGTTTACAGTCACTTCTCGTGTTTGTGCAGTGCTCCGATCCACGTTCTTCAATCGGGGCAGATGGCGCCGTTTCTTCAGCGCCTTTTTGTCTTTCCGCTCCTTTTTCGTTGTGCCACTACTGCTAGTTGCTGGAAGAAACTGGCTGGCTACCTGTTGGGCCACTAATTGCGGATTAATCCGAGGTTTCCTTGTCGAAGTTCCCTTGCGAACGTCACACATTAAACATTTGAACGCTTCCGCGGTGTTCCTGAACGTGCACACACTACAATCCCAGAAATTATCTTCGATCACTTTAGGACCACGTTTTGCCCGTCGAATTGGACTCTTTTTATTGTCCATTTTGGCTCGGAACAACAGAAAACCGATTATTTCCTGCCACACTGACGTAAACAGCCGACACGTGAAGCCATGTTTTCACTTTACGGTTACAGTTCGGTTATTTACCGTTGAACTTTGCCGGGCAGCACCGCCGCTCACTGAATTCTTGGTCGATTTCACGAGGCTTCACGCTCCCCTGATGCCAAACTGCCGCGTTATTCCCAGATTGGACCACCATTTTTCTCTCGAGCCATCGTTGTCCATGTCCTGTGCTCGATTTCTCGAATTGTGCTAGAGCAAAAAAATGTGTGAAAACAGACTCTGGCCCTTAAAGAAATATCTTTTAAACTGTTTTTAGAAATTAATTTTAGAATCATTGAAATGATACAGGGTGTTTTACAAGGAGTCCAAGGGCTTGGAGGATAGGGAGATGATGCAAAAAAGTTTTAATTATTTATCGAAGACATTAGTCCTCAATTTCAGCTTTGGTGTTAAGCAGCAAACATTTATCGGTTAGAATATCGAGAAACGAAATATTGCCAACGAAAAAGTGATATTTTAAGATCCAAAAAATTTTTCGAGAAAACTGCCAACATTTCCTTATCGATGGTTCACTTCCTAAAACGGCCATTTATTTCTGTCTAGAATGATGTACAAATGAGCGTTCTTGCTCATTTTGCCTCTGAGAAATGAGCAACGGAAAACATGAAATTTTGGGATAATCTTGCACCTAAGTGTCTGATATTCAAATTTCGCTTTCTGGGTCAAAACTACTCGACTTTCCTCACTCACTTTGTTACGACTTTTCAATTCTCTATCTAACGATGCCAAAACGAATTCTGTATCTCGAATGGTTCCTGAGAAACGTCGAAAAAAGCAGCGTCATGTTCAAGTGGATTTTGCAACTCAAAAAAAACCCACGCAAACCTAAAACTTCTTGAATTCAAGCATTTTTTGAGAAAAC